GGGGGGGGAGACGCGAAACGAGAGTTTTCATAAATTCCATCCCCGCGCTGACAAGCATTTTTCTCGTAAATCTTACCTGTCCTCGAACTCGTTAAGCGAAAGCTCGCTCGAAAATTGTGCGCGCGCGCGAGTCGTTCGTATCTATCGCATGAAACTGTTAACGCGTTTGCGGAACGCCGCAACGATAGATTGCCCCGCTGTTTGGGAATTTTTGGGGACTGATGATGCATTCTTGACAGAGTTTTTCATCGTTCCCGCTATGTTTTATCTCGAAACAAGAACTGGATGCCACCAAATATCAGAGAGCTATGCCAAAAATAACATACGCCAATCGATCGATGTACTCGATACATCGTGTTTTCCCGGAATAAAACACAAACTTCTCGATATACGCAATCCATTTTCCAAAGCCTATTCCGTAATTAAAGAAAAAAAAACAGAAAATATTATTAACAAAAAGATAGAACTTTACACGTTGGGCGTATCGTATATGCGATAGTATCTGAGCGTAAATAAAAATGCATATCTGTGAGAATTTTTATTAAAAACCTAAAAATATTTTTTTCAAAAGAACTAAAAATTAAATATTCTAAAATATTTTATCTCTACAGCTCGTAAAGTACTAAAAGTGTGAATATTATATTAAGATATACATAAACATATTTCATATATTTTATTAGTAATGTTTAATTGCTCGTGTAAATCACTATTAAAAAATGTATACTAACGGTATTCAGATTTTATCATACAATGTTGAGCGTCACAGGATCTACCTCTTATGTATTAACATATTTACATAACAAATGTAATCGCGCGTGCAAATTTCTGCCGAAAGAAGGACATAGATTTGGCACGGAGGAAGTGTAAAAAGGTGACGGATATTTTACAAAGACGATTGGTGGGGAGACACAATGAGCGTTTTTCTCGCGCGGGCTTCATTCGCTCTCGCAACGATTACATATATATAATTATGCGAAAATTGCGTGTGCGTACGTATTATTCAAATCTCGCAGATTAAATTTGCTAGGCATTTCGCCTCATGTTGTTGGGCGGGAATTAAGCCATCGCTAAAATTTTAACTCACCGTGCAAATCTCTGGTTGGAGTCTGTGCGCGCGCGCGCGCGTCCGCCCGTGCCCCAGATACGCGGTATAGGTATACCATTGTTTGCATTAATTTACGGGAATAGCTACATCCGCCATGTACATTAACGATATCAAAGCGTTCTTGCTTGTCATAGAATAGCGCTTGAGACCACGCGAAACTACTCCCTCACATTTTCATTGCGCGCGATTAAATTCCGTGAGATCTTGGCATTTGCTGCGTTGGTAGACCACGTCTGCCATCTAAGAACCGTAAAAACACAATCGCGCTTCCGCAGAGCTGTAACATTACATAATAATAATATTTTTTTTCTGAATAATTAACGCGAATTGTATTGAATCATGTTAAATTTTTTATTACAAACAATTATAAAAGCTATAGACACTTTCAAATTTACCAATGCCGAATAAACTTGGA